GTAATGTGTGAAAAGTGCAGCAGGCAAATGGTTAAATGGGTGAAATTAATAGAGAATAAAAAGGCAACAGTAGCATTTAAATAAATGGATAAATGGTAAAGAGAGTTAAAAGTTACGATTAAAAGATCTGGTTATAATTGGTAATAGTGGCATTTTGTTTTAAGAAGAAGGATGAATACAAACAGGCTGTAATTGACATAAAATACATTTTGGCTATATCAACTTTGTTAAAACTAAATTTCAACTGAAATTGATTTCAGCACATAAAACACGTTTTTAAACTTGGATTTGGTTTTGCAGGAATTCATCTGATAAACCTGTGAAGACACAGATAATGAAATCTGTTACCGGCAGAATAAAAAGAAGGTGTCCATTTTACCCACACAAAGCAAAGAGGAAGGAAACACAACAGACACACAAACACAAAGGAGGTCCCCCGCCTGTTACTGGTGTTACTGGATGCTGAGGAACAGCTTGAACGGCTTAAATGTCAAAATACCACAGGCATGAGCATTTCTTCCCTTACATGGTGACAAAAACTGATAAAGTGATTTATACTACTACTGTAGGCCCCACTACAATAAACAATCAACATAATGACACTGCAAATGTCAACTTCCCTTCCTTAATGCGTAATATCCACGTACAGTAACAGCATAAAATTGTTGCATGATGTTTGACATTAACGTCAGTTAATCTGTCACATAGATTAACTGCCTTTATAAGAACAGGACAGATGCAAATTCACACAGTTCCACAATTTATTGAAATTGCACAACGGAGACCAGACAAGTGCATTAAACGGCATTAGTAAATTGGACATAATGACATAACCACATTGTATTACTTTTTATATATGAAGTATGTTATTACAAGGGATAATCAGATAAAAAGCACAGCATTATTGGGTATAGAGCATGTCACTGTAATGAGTTCTAGGTTTGATTGTAGCTGGACCTTCACAGCATGCCATTTTCACTATTCTCCATTGTCTGTTTAAGAAAGGCACATTTAAAAAAATAATCTAGTGCAAGGGTTGAATTGTTTGGCAAGTTAAAATAAACAAACAATAAACAAAAACATCACATAAAAACAAACTGCAATCATACAGTCCCTTTAAACTGGTAA